TAGACTAAAATGCAAAATAATAATAATAATAATAATAATAATAATAATAATAATAATAATAATAAAGGAAGGAAAAACCCTTCACTTCCCCTCATTTCCCTTCTAATTTTTTATTATCCAAATAGAGAAGTTTTTCTTCCTCTCCTCTCCCTCAAACCAAAAAAGGCATTAGTGTTAACTCCTAATCAACTAATAAAAGAAACAATAGCATTCTTAATATTCACAATAGGGGCGATTTTGTTTCAAATTATTAATGAGCATGAACATTTTAATTGTTAGTGTGGAGATATAAGTAATGGTAACAAAGCCCCATGATCAAAGTGCACTCTCCCTCCCTATGTTGATTTTTTGAAGGAAAGGAGAGGAAAAAAAGCCTCTTTTTAGACCCTGTATTGAAAAAATTCCCTTTTTGATCCCTAAAATTTGAAATTTGACCCCTTTTTAGTCCCTCCATTAAGTTTTAGCTGATGTAGCATGTTAATTAATAGAAAAATTTACATTTTTGTTTACTTAAATTATGTGGAAAAATTCACTTGGTAAAAGTTGGTGACATGGCTAAATTTTTTGTCCAAAATAACCTTAAAAATCATTTAATTACATAATTACCATTATAAATATTTAAACGTTATCTTGTAATTACTTATTTGCCCCTACCTTCTTCCGCCTTCTGTCTTATTCTCTCATTCCTCTGGCTTGTTTTATTTTTCTTTTTAACTTTTGTTGGGTTCGTTGTGAATTGAAGCGTGGCCTAGGTTCACTGCAAACCAAGGCACTAGGTTCGTCACGAACCTAGGTGCTAGGTTCATCACGAACCCAAGCGCTAAGATCGTGACAAACCCAGCTCTTGATTTCATTTTTCCAAATCTATCAATCTTTAGATCTAACTCCCTCTTCTTCTTCCTCATCATCTCTATATATATACAGACTAATGCCTCTCCATTATTAACTCTCTAAAGCTAATTCCCACCCACAAAACTATTATAAGTATCCCCACCTTCCACTTCATTAGCTGGTTGGGGGCAATCAAACCAGTCTTGACTTGGTCAAAACTTAAATTTTACCCAAAATCAAATAGCTAAAAAATTCACCAGAAAACAGAGCTCTGAAATTGAAACAACAACCAATTCAATGGATATGAATAATGCATTCTCCGATCCATTTCATTTCGGGTCATACTCAACAAGAAATCACAAGCTGAAGATGTGGAATTGTTCTCTTCTTTGCAATTTATCTTTTTTTTTTTTGAGTGTTTCTTTGAATTTGCTCTGTTTTTGTACTGGTACTACAGTTTTGTATGAGCTAACATAAATATGTGAATCCTGATCTTCATTTTTATTTTCGTTAATCATGATTAAGTAATTTTGCTATATTCTTTCTGAAAATAGAGTGCAAATAGCGAATCTTACAATATGCTTTGATCAATTCAATTTTGGTACTTTACTTTGTTTGAATTTTTTTTCAAGAGTTACATCTATAATTTCATTTTGCTTGTATACTTTGATGAAGGATGGCGACTATGATGCATGCGAAGATCAATCGAAGGAAATTAGACAAGCTAAACATCATCAAAATTTGATAACTATTTTTCTCTGCACAATTAATTCAACAAACTTAGATTTTCCCATTTTGGTGACCTTTTTTATGTATATCTAAAGATGAAGAAGAAGGAGTCAAATCTAGATCTGGAAAGATGAAACTAGGAGCTGAGGTCATCATGAACCCAGCTCGCGCCTGGGTTCGAGACAAACCCAGCAAATGTTAAAAAAAAAAAAAAGCCAAAGGAAGGAGAGGATAAGACAGAAGGAGGAAGACAATGGGGGCAAATACGTAATTACAAATAATCTTCAAAATATTTATAATGACAATTATGTAATTAAATGATTTTTAAAGTTTGTTCGTGGGTGTTGGTGATGTAGGTGGATGAGTCAGCAACAGTGATAATGTGAAAGCTGACTAGGATGACACCCGAGAAAATGGGGGGGTTCTTTCGGTGGCACCCGTCTCACGTGTGGAAGGCTACATGCTACGGGCCATCCTACTTCGTTAGGCAATCATGTCTTGTAATGAACTCTCCAACGAAGCTTTTGAAAAGATAAATTTTTCAGCCAAGCCGGTGGAGTTGGGTAGCAATGGCGGGATTCCAAGTATTCAAGATGATTATACAACTATCAAAAATATGATGGGTGGAAGTTGTATGTTGTTATGGAGGGGCTGAAAAGACGAAAAATACATGTGATTCAAACATGATGGGTGGAAGTTGTATGTTGTAACATGATAATAATGACAATAAATGTGACCTCTTTCATCCCTAGTGTATATCTTTACTCTATAATGAACAATCCTTGAAAAGTGCAGCAACTCTACTCTTGAAACTCTTTCAAAGGCAAAAAGATAAACTTGAGAGTGGTGATGGGAGAAGGAAGGATGACTGCTTGAGAGCTTACGAATGGAGCCCTTGATCCTGTTTTTGAAGTTAACCTTGCAACCTTGATCGTCTGATGTTCAAGAAGAACTACCCGGAAGTTGAAACTGTAGCATGTTGTTGCCCAGCCGTAACATCCTATGCTGGGTGATATTCTGCAGTGCTGGAGAATGTTCTATAAAGCTGGAAACACAAGAAATTCGAGAAAATGGTAATTTTCAGATGGTTTCAACATGCAGGGCGGGAGGTTGAAGATAGAATATTTTTAGAGGAAAAATGGGAGTTTACGGTGAGTGGGGAAGAAGGGCTGAAATTAGGTGCATAAATATGTTTTTATGCTGTGTGCGTCTATATATTTCGAAAAATGAAGGGCAGATAATTTATCTATATATGCAGTCGTATTGTTGTAATTTCTGGTTGATGGCTTAAAGTTGTGCAGATAGTTTTAGGTGAGCTGTCAAATTTTCGGTGGCTTTAGGCACTGCTGGCAGCTCTTATGACAATTGCATCATGAATTGCCCAATGGTTCTAGCGAAGCTTTGTTGATTCTGGTGAAGAACTGGAAATTGTATATTTCTGGCAATGCCTCCAGCCATATAAAATCCCATCTTTAGGGAGGTGCTTGAGTACAGCTGGCAAAAACAACATTTGCACAAGATTTGGTAAGTTGCCCAAGCTCTACACGAGATTTTGGAAGATTCTGCAAGCAAATAGTAATCTTTTACAATAGTTTCCAAGGCCATGGAACTTGTGCAGCCATCCTTGCATTAAATATGGCTGTAAGTTGCTGATGGTAACCAAGACAACATCTCTAGTTAATTTTTAGCGGGATTTCTAGCCTTTGGTTAGCATCAAACAACACTATTCTGGGAATCAAGTTCATTTCCATGTCTTCGTCACCCAGCCCCTTTCTGGTGAATTTGGGCAATATCGCTAGTGCCAAGCTTCGTTGGTGTGAATGCCTTGCTTCGTTAGATGGGTAACGTTCATCCATCTATACCTGCCAAGCCACTACTCCCATAGTTTATCTTGAATAATTCCCTTGAGTTTGGATTCATGGGCTTCTGTTTATCTACAACAACAACAAAGCACAGTGCATATATGTTCAAGTATGTTCAAGTATTTAAGCATAAGAAACTTACAAATATATGTAGCGAAGAAGAGAACACTCTTGTGTATTAAAGGGGGCTATGTGGATGAATGTTTGCTGCTCTCATTTGCTTGTTGGCCATGGCGAGCGTTAGTATATTGCTACCATACATGGTTGACGTTGTGCTAGAATTAAGAACAAGTGATATGGGTGTGTACTGCGATAACGTTGTCTCGAGCCAAGCTTCATTGGCTGGCGATATCTGTTGACAGGTAAGACATAGAAAATATGTGTTATAAGTTGGGATTACCGGTGATCAATAATTTTGTCCCTTTGTGTATAAAAGTTACAATGGGCATGGCCTTCGACCATGTTATGTACGTATTGTGGGGTCAGCCATACATAGCTTCCCCATAACTAGAGGGACAACAGTGGCTAGCTTTGCCCATAGTTGGAGCGTGAACTATGTGGAACCGGAAGAGCATTGCCACTACTCCAGCAGGTCGTAAAGGAGTAAATCTCCTTAAACCAAACTCCATCATAGCGATGAATATGTATAAAGAAAGGTGGAATTGTCTCAATGAAAGGGGGACGCTAGCTGTATCCATGGCCTCCGATACGACAAGGTGTGATACCATTGACAAATTTTGGCCCTTCTTACCATACCCACACCATCAAAGGGTGGTCCTGGTTGTCGTTGCCCGCCGGGCACCGCACCACCATGCACAGCCGACCACCAAGGGACCGTCGGTCACTACTTGATGGATTTTTATCGCTGGAGGGTAACCATCCTATCTGATCATAGGGTTGCAACTATTACCAGCTTCAAGCTAATCGTACCGAGTTGCGCTGGCTCTTTGTTCGTTTTTAGGAGCCAGTGATATAAAATATGTAGAGATGCGACCCTTTGTCCGTTGTCAGGAGTCGATGTAATGAAGATATATAGAAATGCGTAGCTTTTTTTCCATTGCTGGAGGCTAAATGAGACAATAAATCTAGCCTTTTGTCCATCAATGGAAACCATATGCAAAGATAGATGCTTGGCTCAATGCCCATCGTAGGGAGCTATGGAGATAAGATTGTTGTCCTTTGATGGGAGCAGCAGGCTCTTTATCCATTATTGGGAGCCACAAGATACAGTAATGAATATCGCTGTAGAGGACATGACCATCAAGGAATGCCCAGCCATGTCGCCAAAATAGATCTAGCCATGTCTAGTCATGTATGTGAAAATATATGCTGGAATAGGTTACATTCTATGATGTTTCTAGCGAAGTGCATGAGCATCGTTTCTGGCGATGTTGATTCCATTGCAGCAAGTAGTAGAAAATAGGAACTACGTGTCCGATGTGGGAAATGAGCGTTGTGGGCCCTTGCTGATGTGGATCTGCACGCGTCATTGGTGTTACGACCATACAAATTCATCCCTCAACATTAGCCCCCCAAGCAGATGAAGTTGTAATAACAAGTTTGGCCGCTTAGCATTGAGGCAGGTAGATTACCGAGGCATTCCCCCTATGACCACAAGCGTGCTTCGATGATATAGAAATCAGATAATCAATGTGGATCCTTTTGTTGAAGCAGATGTGATTTGAAGGACTTAGGATTGCCAGGACTTGGCTCCAACCAGGTAAGCTGCTGATGGCAAAATAACTTCAACAGAGGTCGGGTTGTGTTAAGCTCGGATGTGTAGAATAGCAACAATCATAGGTGAGTTCAGTATGACCTCAACTACAATTGATGAGTAAGGCGTGAGCCTCAGTGCTGTTGATGGGGGTCTCAACATGGATGTGAACCAAGTAAGGCCGAAGTAAAAAATTCTAGGCGGTAGTGATTCTGGCCACTATAGATTCGAGTCTAGTGAACAAGCTTGCTGCCGCATCCACGCTAGGATTCTCACAAGGGCTACATTGTCTTTCTTCTTGGAAAAAAAATAATATGCTCTAAGTAGTCATTGTAGACTTGTTTTTTTAAAAAAAATACTATTCACTATAGTTCAAATATGAAGGGAAGTCTGAAACCATTCCATGGGGAGGTTTTCAATAGTTAGAAAGAAAAAGTAACTCCCCTTTTTAAAATGATAAAGAAATCGAACCTTCCCCAAAAATCCCATTATGATGGTGCATAAAAATGGGAGATTTTAAAGGAGATTACATACATGCATGTGCATCAAGACAATGTGCACCTTACTTGCCATCCCCCTGATACTTGTTGGCCATGTTGATGAGCGACAATTGGCGAAGTGGTTGGCTGGTGCACTTAATGCTGCCGTTAATTTCCCTTTTGCCATTCTCTTCCTTCCTTATTGAGTCTCTCAGTTTTCGCTTTCTTCCTTTTTCACAAAATCGTTGAACTTTTCCCTCTCTTCTTTGTGTCCCCGATTTTCATCATCTTCTTCCACGAAACTTTTAGGTTCCTTAACAAAACGACTAGATCCTTCCTGAGAAGGTTAATTTGGTGTGCAAATCTGACAAAATCCCTTTTCTAATCGAGGTCATTATGGATCCTTGTTTCTCTGCCTCATTCTTTTCTTCTTCTTCTTCTGTTTCTCTCTTCTTCTTTTTTTTTTTTGGTTGCATGCTACAGATTTCTTGTGCTTCCATTAATTTGAATCTTTATTTTGTCTCCTCCTTTCTTTCCGTAGAAAGCCTTAAGAGATGGCTGATCCTTATCTGACCGACAGTGTGCAGCCATACCGCGACCCGTGGTACACTTTTCATGATGGCTTTCTGTAATTCAACGCTTGTTTGGCGAAAAGGGCGAAGGAAACCATGTGGGCAAGGCTTGAAAGATGAGACTTGCTGCCAGTTCCAATTCACTTTGCCTTCCCGTCCGGTAAGATGGAAGATTGGTTCGGGCTGGGCTAAGGAGATGCTTGTCAGGAACAGCTTTGTGGAGACATTGCATGCTGCTAGGATTCTTAAGTCGATAGCTTTGAGTCAAACTCTGCAAATTAGTGGCAATGTAGAGTGCCTCCGTCGTTTGGTGAGGAGGTGGTGCATGAGTACCCATACTTTTATCCTTGCTTTTGGAGAGATTACTGTGGCTCTAGAGGATGTGACAAACCTGATGCTGTTGCCTATCGTTGGGGAAGAGGATCCACGGCACATAGTGTTAACACCGGAAGAGTGTGCCACACTAATAGCTTTGAGGAACGCCAGTGCCTCTTCTCGTTCATTGAGGGGAAAGTATAACATTGATTTCCCAACTTGGATGCAGTACTTTTGAACAGGCGAAGGTAAAGATAACCCGTATGTGCACGCGGCTTTCCCTACGGCTTAGTTGAGTAAGTTTGTTATTGGGGGCTTCTTGAACCATGAGATCACGGTTGAGTGTATTCCTCTTGCAATTTGATTGGCTGAAGGCATGAAGCTCCCTTTAGCCCCGTTGATGCTAGGTACGCTCTATCACATGCTTGATTTGCTCCACTTTGATGAGATTCTCAATGCTAGCTATTACATCATTGAGTCATGTATGTTTTTCTTTGCTACAAATGTTTGCATGGGAGAGGTTTTGCCCTTATCATTCTGGCTATGTTACCAATGGGAAGGTTTTGAAGGAATATCCCATGGCGAAGTGTGGTTATACTAGCGAAACAACTCCATTAGCCTGCTCTTGGATGGGACAAAGGAAAATAAAGGGACAAAAAATCCCGAAAGTTGATGGTCTTCTAGATGACTATGGTAGCTTTAATTTCCATGCATACAAGACAATGCCTGGGACTTGCTCCACCCGAGGTGAGCCGCTTTGAAAAAGTGCTCCCAGCGGTGCCCGGTAGTCAGATTGTGGAGTTTACAATGGGGAACTCAAGTCATCTAGAAATGCTAGCAATGACAACACCATCCATGCTACCATGCATTACATGGCAGGGGATGTGGAGTCTAAAGTGCCACTATCTGGAGAGAGTTGCGAGATAGCTTGGTTATGATTAGGATGTACCTTTTGCTCTTTACGACAAAATAGATTGGAATAAGGCCATGCGGCCTTACATTGATGAAGCTGCCACGGCCATGTGGAGTGAAGGTGTTGCCACACTTAGGTTTTTTAGCACTGCGAGAATGTCAACCATGTCGTCACCCATGCTGGAGTATTGAGGGACACTGTTGAAGAAGTTTGAAGCTTTCATTCAGTCATTGTCGGAAGTGGTGAAGTATGATCCTACATCCTAGGATTGTGAATGTCTTTTAACCACAGTAACTGTTTCTTGAGTTATTGCAGCAAACACTCTTGGGGGTTTTTAAGTAGGGAGGATAATGGACAATGGATACCCATCTGTTTTCCCATTCTTGGCATGGTGGAAGAGGAGTATGATCAGGCTAGTGCTATTGATGAAGAAATTAGGCAAAAGGCAAGTGGCGATGTTGAGGCTAGAGGTAAATATACTCTCTTACTTCTTCTTCTTCTTTTCTCCCTTTACCTTAAACTTTGGTTCTTCTTCCATCCAAGATCTTGGTTGGATTGGATTAGTGTTGAAGAATGCTTCATGTTCCCATGCCTTTCTCATGACATTACAGAAGGAGCTGATGAAGCTGCCCCTCCTAGGAGGTTGGTTTTGGGTAAGACGAAGAGTGTTGCCCATCTGCCTAAGAGCAGAGCACGTAGAACTTCAGCTTCGCCAACAAGCAAGCAAAGTAAGGCTAAAGCACCCACACCCTCTAAAGCCAAAACTACAAAGGAAAAAGATACAAGTCATGACAGTGAAAACAATGAGAGTTCCTGGGGCAATCCAGATCCAAAGGTGATTAAGCGGATCAAGAGATTAAGACCCATTCGTGGCGATAGGTGCTTGGGTGAGAAGTATTATGATTCAAATGCTTCATTCCAAGGAAGCATACTGCTCGACCTTTCGTCTATCTACCTTTTTGGTCGTTGTTGACCTCACTAAGGATCCTTTGACATGTGACTTAATATTTGTATGAACAATCAACAGCTTCCAATGAAGGCTTTGGTCCAATCCCTATTCCTGGTGACGATAAAGTTCCGTCCAAGGCTAAAGAGGCTAAGCAGGAGGAAGCCTTGGTGAACCCTGAAGTTCGTCGAAAAATTTTGGCCAGTGAAACAAGTGAGCCTTTGCTTCCCAATGACATACTTAATGTTGTTGACTCTATCATTGATTGGAGTGATCCCATATCCTTCACAGCCGCGTCAGTAGAGAAGGCTAAAGCCAGCAAAGTCCCACCACAAAAGCCTACTATGGTAGGCCATTTAGACTTGTCCTTTATTTTAAGAAAAGGCCAAAATGTGCTTATTAAGCCCTCTTTCTATTCTGCTGCAAACTAGGGGAGGTGTGAAGGTCTCGTATGGCACTCCCAATACGACAAAGAAGCCTGAAATAGTGAAAACTCAACTAGAAGTGATGGTATTGAAGGTATAAGCCTCTACATCTCCATAAAAATTGAAAAGCACTCTTTACAATTTCCGAGGTGAAGTCGTTAACTTTTCCTTCCTTATGCACAGCTACGTCCCATTAGCGAACTACCTCCTTTTAGGGCTGGTGACTTCGAGTTGGCTCTCGGGGGATTTATACCAACGAGGAAAATTGGTGCTTCCATCAATGAGAAAGGTACCTGAATTCGTTCAACGAAATAGTTTGGATTTCAACACCTTGCTTAGTTGAATGACATATTTCTTTGTTGATCAGTCGTGCTTCATTCACTTCACCAGATGTTGAGAAGGGTGAGGCTAAGGCCATGATGGGCATTGGTAAAGAAAGGGGAAAGAAGGTTACCGAGATAATCAGCTCTGATTATAGCGAAAGTAGTAGCCCTCACTCTAGTAGCAACAATGCCTCAAATCGGATGTGGGCAATGTTGCAAAGAAATCCATCTCCAATAAAGGCAAAACAAACACTGGTGCGCCAGCTATGAGCTCAGTGAAGAAAGTTGCCGATCCTGGTGAGATCAAGCATAATGGTCAATCGTCCGTGGCTCCAACTAAGTCAAGTGAGATTGATGACTCAGCCATGAGGCTGCTCAACAATCTTGACAAAATGAATGAGGATAAGGATGTTTCACTGGCCCAGTTCGGCTTAGTGCCCCTAGGTGGCTCACGAGCAGTGGGCAAGTTTGCAGTGTCCGCAATGTTGGAACCGCGGGCATGCCATCTGCTAGACATTTTTCCAAATCTCATGACGTGTAGCAAAGCCAAGAAAGTGGTGGTTGAGGATGCCTTCTCAATCCTCTGTGCGACCATGCAGCACATAGAGGTAACTCCCTTTGTTGAAATGAATAAGGATTTCTTTTATTTGTGTAGGGATGCCCTTGATGATGCTGAGAGTATAAATTTTGAAGTCAACACCCTTCGCACTCATTTATCAAACTTGGCAAAGGCATACCTTGGGAAGACTGAGTTCGACGCAACCAGAGGTGACATGGTTGAGGGCTTGGATGAGCGAATCAAGGAGCAAGTGAAGCATATTGAAGAGATGGAGAAGTCTTTGGCCGAGACAAAAGAACTTGTCGTCAAACTAGAAGAAAGACTGGTGTCAGCCAAGGTGTACCTAGGATTGCTCAACCAAGAAAAAGAATGTTTGGACTCCAACGGTGTGACTGAGCTTCGCCATGCCTATATGGAAGCTGCCAAGGCCTTTGGAAATGAGCTCGACCCCTTCTTGCCATGAGTTAGCCTCACGTCCCAGCTTTCTCTTCATTTTTTTTATTCATTTTCTTTTATAGTACGTTGACTGTTGGCGATGTTGCCATGATGTAGCTCTCTAGTCATTTTTGTTCTAGGTTGAACATCATTGCTTCCAACAAAGTCTAGATCTTGTTGCTTGTTTATTTTCTTGCTTGTTTCTCTCTACTGCTCTGAATATATCAATTGCACAGACAAATTTGTACTGAAGAAAGGGATCGGGGAGGTTGTTTTACATCATGTTATATGATGCACATCTTCTTTTTCTCTCTTCTCCCCCCCCCCCCTTTTTTTTATGAACACTTCTTTTCCTTTTACAATGATAGAGCAAAATGACAGGAGTCTAAATAGACCAATACATAAAGTGCCAAACATAGTAAGAGAGTGCTATTGGCACCTAACATTTGATGATACACCATGGATGAAATTAATTCTCTTGGCTGGAATAAATGACAACGTCAGAGATAAAATTGCAAAAATAAATGAGGTTGGTGAAGCCTAACAATAATATGGCTTGAGCCATTTAGCATTCACAAGATCCAATAGCGATTCTCCCTTGTGAGTTTTGAGGCAATAATATCTACTATCATGTGCTTCCACAATGACAAAGGGACCGTCCTAGTTGGCAGCGAACTTGGATGGCCCAACGATGTTCTTCCTTACATGGTCAGACCCCTTAAGGACTACCTATCCAACTGTAAAGACTCTAGCCTTAACTGCATGGTCGTAGGCATTTGTCATCTTGGCTCGATATTTTTGAGCCTTTTCTTGTGCTATCTGACAAAGTGCCTCGACAGACTCCAAGTCTTTAATTCACCTTTAGCCATAAATGTCAACATCGTTATCCAGCTCGGATGCAGCCAAAATGTGTGCAGTTGGCACTAAGACTTCATTAGGAAGGACTACATCGCAACCATATATCAAAAAATAAGGTGAAAAACCTATAGCAATCTTAGATGACATTCGATGCGCGAAAAGAGTATCTTGCAAATGAATGCTCCACCCTCCTTCGCACTCATAGACCATTTTGCTCGGAATTCTTAGCAAACTTTTGTTAGTTGCCTCTGCTTGACCATTGCCTTGGGGGTAATATTGAGTGGACTTCCAATGCTTGATCTTATAAGTGTCCAGCAATCTTCGCACACGTTGATTAACAAAAGAAGTTCCATTGTCACTTACAATTTTATATGGGATCCTGAAACAGCAGATTATGCGCAACTTGATGAAGTTATACACCACTAGACCTATAGCCTTGCGAAGAAGGATGGCCTCCACCCATTTGGTGAAATATTCAGTGGCTACCAATATCTAAATATAACCCTCAGATGAAGGGTGAATGGGACCAATGAGATCCAAGCCCCAAGTGTGAAAAGGATCAGACCTAAATCACCAATGATTTTCAAATGCTGCACACCAGCCTCTTTAGCCATAGCAAGCCCAATAAGATAAGCTTTGTACTTTGCAGTGTTGTTCATCCACTGAAAATCAAGCTTGAATGAAAATACGATATCATGGCCTTTGTCATTTTTTAGAACAACGCCAGCCCCAGCCTCTTCAGTTGTAGAAGAACCATTGAAATATAATGTCCATTCTTCCTCATTTCCTATGCAATAGTAACCTCACCACTTGGGATTTCGTTAGAAATAGGATACTGGACTTCGCTAGAAAACTCAGATCTCAAATCTACAATAGCTTGTCCCTTTATGGCGATGGGATTAATGCATGTTATATCATATTGAGATAATTGAAGAAGCAAATTAGCAAGACGGCCAATAAGCATGGGCCGTGTTAGAAGGTACTAAATGGGCTGAGACTTGGTGATGAGTTGTATCTTATGAGCCAAGAAATAATGTTAAAGGCACTAGAATACATAAATCAGTGCAAGGCAAATTTTTTCAACAAAAGGGTACCTTGATTCCGCGCACTTAAGGTTTCGACTGACATAATAAACCGGTTATTCCTTGCCTTCTTGGTCGTCTTGAGCAACTAGTGCACTCACAGCTTCTTCAAAAGTAGACAAATAGACTTTAAATGGTCTGTCTTTGATGAGGACAGATATAGTCGGCAATCTAAGCATGAGATCCTACAGATGTAAGAAGGCACATTGTTGCTCTGCCATCCACACGAAAGTGGCTCCTTTCTTCAGCAAAAGGTTAAATGCGAATAGTATTTCTGCCAACGAAGGGATGAATCTATGAATATATGAGACCTTGCCGATGAAGCTTCGTAGCTATTTGAGATTCTTAGGTGGCTACATGGCTTGGATAACTTCAGACTTGGTTGGATCCACACTGATACCGTGTTTACTCACAAGGAAGACTAGGAATTTCCCAGCGAAAACACCAAATGCACACTTTGTTGGATTCATTTTCAGCTTGTATAGATGGCATCTATCGAAGACTTTCCTCAACACATCGAAGTGGCCAGTCTTGTTTTGGACTTCACCACAACGTCAGCAATGTAGATCTTAATATATATGTGGATGAAATCATGAAAGATTGCCACCATGACTCTTTGATAAATAGTCCTAGCATTTTTTAGTCCAAAAGGCATAACAATATAGTAGAAATTACCAATAGGGGTACGAAAACTAGTTTTCTCTACATCGCTAGGGCACATATTAACCTGGTTATACCAACTGCTGCCATCCATAGAGAGTACATCTCGCAACCAGTAGTGTTGTCCATCAACACGTCCATGTTTGGGACAAAGAATTCATCTTTGGGGCATGCCTTGTTAAGGTCATGAAAGTTAACGCAACACCTAATCTGCCCATTCTTCTTTCAAACTAGTACAATATTGGCTAGCCAAGTCAACTTCTTTGTTGGTTTGATGAATTCTGTAGTCAATAGCTTCTCAACTTCTTCTTTAATTTTCAGAGTAACCTCTAGATGGAAGGCGCGATTTGGCTTCACAACTGGCTTTATACAAGGATCAACATTCAAAGAATATGCCACCAAGGTTGGATCAAGCCCCGACATTTCATCATAGTTCCAGGCGAAAACATCCTTATATTCTTGGAGCAAATTAACCATTTTAGCTCTTTCATCCGCAGAAAAAGTGGTGCTAATATGTACATGCCTGGGGTTTGTTGGTTCATCTCCAAGATTAACAACTTCGAGGGACTCTAGAGAAGTGAGTGTTGGTTGAGCATCAAGGAGGGTTGGCAGCTTATCTGGCAGTACTAGATGATCAGCTTCGTTAGAAAAATCTAGATGCTTAGCAAGTATCTCATTGCCAACCTCAAGAGCGAGGCATTCCACTTTGTTGTAGAGGCCTCATTCACTAATCGAAGTATCTCCCTCCAAAGTGAAGAATAGATGATCCAAAGACATGGCTATACTACTAGTGATGGGGCCATCTCGTGCTTGGTTGAGAGGCCCCGCACACCTTCATAAAGTATACTTGATCCTCCCATTGGGAAGAACAGTTTGAGTGCACTTTGGATGCACTTGAATAGCCTTTCCTGCCTCTTTCTTCTGCCTTTTATGCTCCAGGACACTTCATAGATCAAGATCAGGCTTATCTTTGGTGTCATTCCATGTTGGCAGGACAATGCCACCTTGGCAAGATATTGTCGCTTCGCCAGAGGGGGCGAATTCATCATAAAAAGCAGCTTTAGCGAAATGGGTCTTAGTCTGATCAAATGGCAACAGGTTGGAAAGGATGCAGAAAACCTTTCCGTTTATATGACCTTTGACACATTGATGATAAGTAGAATGGAAAATTTTATGTCGATGTAGCCATGGTCTTCCCAACAATCTATGATAAGAAACTTCTGCATCAATGATGTAGAATGTAGTTTGAGATTGGACTGGACTGGATTGACCTTTAATTCAAGTTGAACATATCCAAGGGCATGTTCACTACTGTTACTGAAGCCAACAATGTTGAGTGGAGACTTGACGACTCTTCGTTGGGGATTCCTACAATGATAATGGTGTCCAACAGTATCACGTTGAGAGAAGATCCTGTATCAACCAGTGCACGCCTGACACCGACAGAGTTGATCTGAGCAGATAAGTAAAAAGGCTTTCTATGGTCAGGATATGGTGCCTCCATATCTTCGTCAGTGAATGTGACAGCATTAGAAGATTCAAGATAAGCATGGCTGGCATTCGCTTCAGCGTTGAGGCATTCTCTTTCAGCCTCATTGCCGATGGAAAGTATGGCCTCTATGGCTCTTCGTCATGCCTCGGTAGTGAAACCAAGTTGATCAAACAGCATCTTGAACTTTGGAGTTCGTTGGAGTGCGCGGATAGAGAAGTTGGGTGTATTGTTAGGGAATTCAACTATTGGCTCACTTGCCCCAATGCTTTCAACATGAGTGAGAACATTGATAGCACCTTGGTTGTGGCGTGGGAGAGGATCTTCGTCCACCCTTTGTCTTTTGTTCGGTACTTCTAACAGTCCTTTTGAGACTCATCGATGATACATCCTTCTAAAGGAAAAACAGTCCATGGTCGCATGGTGAACAAAGAGATGGTAGAAACAGTACTTAGGGTTGCGTTTATCATCATCATTGGGCTCACGATGCGCTTGAGGTAGTGTGATGGCACCGTCAATGATCCACTGATATAAGAGCACATCAAGTTCTTCGATAGTGAGAGGAATAAGTGGTGGTGGTGCCATGTCACGATCTCTTTTTTTCTGTCCTTGTCCTTGGCCCCGGACAAAGACAGCCAAAGTGTGAGCAACGGTTTTCTTTTCTGTTGACTTCATTGCATATTTCCCAATAGAGATGGCTTTGATAGAAATAGCTGTTTTCCTGGTGGCATTGAGTGGCCTTGCAAACTGGTTGATCCTGATGTTTTTAAGGACAATGCAATATTCTGGAAACATGTTGTTGATGCAAATTTCTACTAAGAAGATTCAACATGGCCACCATAGCAATTGAGTGCCAAATCCATGAATCTTTTCACATAGACTAGTAAATCTTCACCAGTGTATTGGCAAGTGTTGTGGAGATTAAGGATGGTGATGCGCTCTTCACTTTGAAAATATTTTTGTTAAAATTGTTCCACCATCTCATCCTAAGAACGGACAGAGCCGGGAGGTAGAGTAGTGTACCATGTATAAGCTCTATCAAAGAAAGACTTCGAGAACTCACAGACACAAGTCTTTGTCACCAGCATGAGCCTCCATGGCATCAAGGAACTTGTTAACGTGCTCCACAACACTGCCTTTCCTTCCATCATACTGCAAGAATGCAGAACTTTCATATTTCTTTGAGTGTGGTCTAGACAAAATCTTCTTCAGATAGGTTGGGTCACGAATGAATTGAAAAGGGATTGTTCCATGTTTGGAACGCTCCCTGTCCAAGAGAGCAATAAGGTCTGCCATGGTGACATAATCTTGTGTAGAATCGGCTGCATTAGGTGGAGCTCCATTGGTACTGGTAGCTGTAACTACTGGTGGTGCCAAATTGTTCGGCCATGCAATAGAACCTCCATGACCATTGGTAACCTCAGTATGGGCTTCATGTGGCTGGGAAGTTCCAGTCATATTGATGGGTTGTGCTGGATCCTGCACAGCATGTTGGGTCTACATGTTGGTGAGGAGCTGAGTAGTCCTTTGCTGGTCTTTGTGTAGGACCCGAATAACTTGGACTAGGGATGCAAGGCTGGGATCAATGATTCCTTGCAAGAGGTCATTAAAAACATCTATTGATGGATGCAACTGTTGAACTTCTCGTCCATCGTCCTGGCTAGGCTCCTGACTCCCATCAGCAATGCGAAACAAGGTCACCCTTGTGATAGGCATGGCCAAAAAAATTCTGCTGAAGACAAATAAATACTGTTGAGGCAGAATACTAGAGATATTATGTTGCTAAAAAAGAGTAGAATAGGATGAAGCTCTAGGATGACCTCCTTAGTGGAGTCGCCATTTTGTTCGAGGGTGTTGGTGATGTAGGTGGATGAGTCAACAGCAATGATGATGTAGAAACTGACTAGGATGACACCAAAGAAAATGGGGGGGTTCTTTCAGTGGCACCTGTCTCACGTGCGAAAGGCTACATTTTATGGGCCATCCCACTCTGTTAGACAATGATGTCTTGAAGTGAACTCTCTAGCGAAGCTTTTTGAAAGATAAATTTTCCAGCCAAGCTGGTGGAGTTGGGCAACAATGTCAGGATTCCAAGGATTCAAGATGATTACACAACTATCAAAAACATGATGGGTGGAAGTTGTATGTTGCTATGGAGGGGTAACAAAGGCGAAAAATACATGTGATTCAAATATTACAACTTGAGGATCACATTCATACATAAATCATTGTAACATGATAATAATGACAATAAATGTGACATCTTTCATCCCTAGTGTATATCTTTACTCTATAACGAACAATCCTCATATTGAAAACAAAAAGTGCAGCAACTCTACTCTTAAAACTCTTCCAAAGACAAAAGGATAAACTTGAGACTGGTGATGGGAAAAGGAAGGATGACCGCTTGGGAGCTTATGAATGGAGCATTTGATTCCATTTTTGTTGCTAACCTTGCAACCTTAATCATCTGATGTTCAAGAAGAACTACTCGGAAGCTAAAATTGCAGCATGTTGCTTCCCGGCCGTAACATCCTACAAACCTGGGAATGTTCTACGATGCTGGGTGATATTCTGTAGAGCTGGAAACACAGGAAATTTGAGAAAATGGTGATTTTCGGAAGGTTTCAGCGTGCAGGGTAGAAGGTTGAAGATAGAATATTTTTAGAGGAAAAATGGGAGTTTTTAGTGAGTGAGGAAAAAGGGCTAAAATTAGGTGCGTAAATCTGTTTTTGTGCTGCATGCATCTATATATTTGAAAATGAAGAGCAGATAATTTATATATATGTATGCAATGGTATTGTTGTAATTTTTGATTGATGGCTGAGAGGTGTGCAGATAGGTTTGGGTGAGCTGTCGAATTTTCGGTGGCTCTAAGCACTACTGGCAACTCTTATGACAATGGCATCATGAATCGCCCAACGGTTCCAACGAAGCTTTGCTGGTTCTGACGAAGAACTAGAAATTGTATATTTCTAGCAATGCCTCCAGCCATACGAAATCCCATCTTTAGGGAGGTGCTTGAGTGTAGCCAGGAAAAACAACATCTGCACAGGATTTGGTAAGTTCCCCAAGCTCTGCATGAGATTTTGGAAGATTCTACAAGCAAATAATAATCTTTTACAACAATTTCTAAGGCCATGGAGCTTGTGCAGCCACCCTTGCATTAAATATGGCTGCAAGTTGCTGATGGTGATCAAGACAACATCTCTGGTTAATTTTTAGCGAGATTTCCAGCCTTCAGTTAGCATCAAACAGTACTGTTCTGTGAATCAAGTTCATTTCCATGTCTTCGCCACCCAGCCCCTTTTTTGCAAAGTCGGGCAATATCGCCAATGCCAATCTTCGTTGGCGCGAATGCCTTACTTTATTAGATGGGCAACGTTCATCCATCCATGCCTGCCAAGCCACTACTCGCATAGTTTATCCCGAATAATTCCCATGAGTTTGGATTCATGGACTTGTGTTTATCTGCAACAACAGCAAAGCACATGTGAATATATGTTCAAGTATTTAAGCATAAGAAACTTACAAATATATGCAGTGAAGAAAGGAATGCCCTTGTGTATTAAAGGGGGCTATGTGGATGAATATTCGCTGCTCCCATTTTCTTGTTAGCCATGGCGAGCTTCAATATATTGCTATTGTACATGGTTGGCATTGCACCAGAATTAGGAACAAGTGATATGGGTGTGTATTGCGATATCATTGTCCTGAGCCAAGCTTCGCTAGCCGATGATACTTGCTGACACGTAAGACATAGAAAATATGTGTTATGAGTTGGGATTATTGATTATTGGTAATTTTGCCCCTTCGTGTAGAAAAGTTACAATGGGCATGACCTTCGACTATGTTATGTAGGTATTGTGGGGTCCGCCATACATAGCTTCCCCATGGCCAGAGGGACAACAGTGGCTAGCTTTGCCCATGGCTGAAGTGTGAACTATGTGGAATCAGAAGAGCACTCCCACTACTCCGCCAAGCCGCGGAGGGGTAATCTCATTAAACTAGACTCCACCACAATGATGAATATGTATAGAGAAAGGTGGAGTTGTCTCCATGGATGGGGGACGCTAACTGCATCCATGGCCTCCGATACAATAAGGTGTGATACCACTGACAAACGTTGGTCTTTCTTGCTATACCCACACCGTTAAAGGGTGGTCTTGGTTGTTGTTGCCCGTTAGGCATCACACCACCATGCACGGGCAACCACCAAAGGATCGTCAATCACTACTTGATGGATTTTTATCACTGGAGGGTAGCCATCCCATCTGATCGCAGGGTTGCAATTGTTACCGGCCTCACGCTAATCATACCAAGTTGTGCGACTCTTTTACCATTTTCGGGAACCAGTGAGATAAAATATGTAGAGATCGGACCTTCTATTCGTTGCCGGGATCCGGTGTAATGAAGATATGTAGAAATGTGTAGCCTTTTTGTCCATTGTTGAAGGCTAAATGAGATAGTAAATCTGGCCCTTTGTCCATTGATAGGATCCATATGCAGAGATAGATGCTTGGCTTGTTACCCATCGCGGGGAGCTATGCAGATCATATTGTTGTCCTTTGATGAGAGCCATGTAGTAAAGTAGGCTCTTTATCCATTGTTGGGAGCCACAGGATACAGCAGTGAATATCATTGCAGAGGACATGACCATCAAGGAGTGCTCAGCCATGTCACCAAAATAGATCTAGCCATCTTTGGTTATGTATGTGAAAATAAATGCTAGAGTAGGTTACATTCTGTGATGTCTCCAATGAAGTGCATGAGCGTTGTTTCTGACGATGTTGATTCCATTGCAACAATTAGTAGAAAATAGGAACTACATGTCCAATGTGGGAAATGAGCGTTGTGGGCCCTTGTTGATGTGGATCCACACACGCCATTGGTGCTGCGACCATACAAATTCATCCCTCAACAAAGTTATGTTAGACAAAAAATTTAGCCATGTCATCAGCTTTTACCAAATGGATTTTTCCACGTAATTTAAGTAAAAAAAAAACTTTTGCCGCTAATTAACATGTTACGTCAGTCAAAACTCAATGGAAGGACTAAAAAAAGACTAGATTTCAAATTTTAGGGATAAAGAAGGAGATTTTATAGTGTAGGAACTAAAATGGGATTTTTTTCCATAGGAGAAGGACCAAAAAAGGTATTTAACATAAAAAAATTATTGTACTTTTAAGAGTACATTAAATGGGGTCCCCATGGGAGGAAAGGAAAAATTGTCACATTTAAATAATATATATTATTTGAAAGAAATGGATGAAAAAGAACAAATG